GCTCAATTAGAAAACGTCCTTTTGAGCTCGTCTTGCAGCAGCAGCAGCAGCAGCAGCAGCAGCACTGCACTCGAGAAGAGTATACTCAATTTCAATCTCTTACGTATTTTTTAAAAGCTCGAGTTTTTTTTACCCGGTATACACGTATTACACGCGCGTCGATAGCGAAGAATTTGTATCGAGTTATATTCATGATTGAGGTTAATGTCGCGGAATTAATATCGAACTTGAAGCGCGCTAATAGTAGCTAGCTTATGTACCCTGCACCGCCTATATGTGTATCGATTTTCAAGGTTGCCAATTTTCTCCGATACTTCGAGAGAGAGAGAGAGAGAGAGAGATACTCATTCGCGTGTACGCGATGATGATGCTGATCATCACGGGTTTATATCTATATCCACATCTATATTACGAGCATTCGGTATTCATATATAACTTTTGCAAACGATCTCCTATACTACATATATACCTATACTACTTGGCGTCGACGGCTTGAAATGTCGATCCCCCAAAAGGTTCGAGAGAAAAATTATTACGCGCTTTCGAGTAGTAAAGGCCTATATACGTGCGGTCATCCGTTACGCTCATTCGATGAATAAAGAATAACTCGCTTTTGGCGCTCGGTATAATAACGGCCTCTCGTTAAAGTTAACGTTTGTATATTATGTCGGCCTCGCGCGCGCGCGCGCCAACCGTGTTGTTATCTATATGCATGCTGCACCGCTCCGCATAGGACTAGTCTGCGAAATTAAAACGATTACTCTCTGCTGCTGTTGCTGCCGTTGCTAGAGAGTGAGAGAGAGGGAGAGCGATGTTACATCCGCCTGTACATTTAATCAATTGTTCATTCGGACGCTGCCACCACTTCTGCTACTCTCTTGCCACTGCTGTGTTTGTGTTGCCAGAGCTTTTTGTATCATGTATGTATACGAATTCGCTGTATTAGTGCCAGAGAAAATGAGGAATATTTCAAACGATTCTCGGGTAGATTAGGTTTTTTAAGAAGGCCATTTGTCGCGTTTAATATTTGATACCCTCGAGTTGTAAAAATTAACCCAATTATAATATTTTTTTTTCTTTTTTCTCTTTTTTTGGTTACAAATCAAAAGCTCACCCCGCTAACACATATATATCATATAGTACATATGAAAAACTCGAGTACGTTTTTGAATAGCTCGCCGAGCGTTATGAATGACTCTTTAGTCGCGAGCTGCAGCTAGTGCGCGCGCGAGTGCAGAGCTACAGACAGCAGCAGCGAGCTCGACCGCGTTGCACATGCCAGCTCGACGACGCGTTTTCATTTGAAAAAATTCACACATGTATATACAATTAATTTCTTAAAAGCCGATTCAAGGCTGCGGTAATTGGAATAATCGAGATATGCATCTTTGTGCACGCGGCGCTTCATCTTCGGGGGCAGCAGAAGTAGAAGAAGAAGCGATAAGAATCGGCACAGATTTTTCGAGATCTTTTGTCCGCCTCTGCACACTGCGGCGGCGGCAGGTGTGCCCGCCCGCGCAATTTCCAACTCTTGAAAACTGTCTGCCTTAGCCTTTTTTTTTCTTCTTCTTTTCATGTACATCGCATCGCTTGCAAATCCGAGTATTTGCACAGGCGCCTTACCGAGACTTATTCTTACATTTATTTCTCGGCTCTTTCTTTTCTTCTTCACAGTAGATGATCTATTATCTGACTTGATTGTCAAAAACAAAGCGAAAAAATATACTCGTTCTCGATGTAGATCACGGAAAAAAATATGTCGTCGAAATCAATGACGGCAAGAATCGTGCTGCTGCTGCTGCTCCTGTTGTTGAGCGCGTGTGTATTATGGTAAAGTTTTGTCGCGTGCGAAGTAGCGCGTGCACGCCGCAACGCGACGATAAATATCCCCTCATATTTATGCAACGCAAATAAGCATATGAAAACCTTTTTTTTTAATCGTGGAGGCGCACACGAGAAAGAGAGAGAAACGCGGGAACTGCACTGCGACGGTTTATAGCGACGCAGCTAGGAATTTTCGGCCTTCGAAATACTTGTTGGTTGAAGTACACGATATATGAGTGAGTGAGTGAGGGAGAGAGCCGCGGTGGCGCACGCTCGGAAAAGCCTTGAATCATTAAAAGTTTTTCACTTTTCGCGCGCGCTGCCTCCTGCCGCCTCCCAGTAATACATATACTTTCGTCGTTATACATTTTTTTTAAACATATATAATAAATCGTTGCCTGCTGCCTGTTTTTTTTCGTCGAGTTTCTGTATGTTGTTAACACGGGTGTACGTAAGTTCGTCGCTCATCGATATAGACTCGTGACTCGTTATCGCGAACAACGCGACGCGCGAAATAAAAAGAGTCCTCAATGGCACACACACACACAAATATCTCGCTGCAGGCTTTGCGAAATGAAGTAAACGTCGGCCCGAGTACAGAGGCTTCGCTGCAGTTGTTGTTGTTTTTTCGCGATCGGTGTCGCTTTTGTTCTCTCTGTTTTTACCCTATATGTCGTATGTATGCGTGTGCCATACATGCGTGCGAGCTTGCGCGCGTTAGTTGTAAATGAAACGAAACGGACGAGATGCTCTTTGTAAAACTCGCGTATCCGCGTCGCCATCGAGTGCACGCGTGTTAAAGAGTATCGAGCGATTCGTTCTGGTTTTGTCATTGTCGAGGATCGATGCAATTCGAGCGCGCGCTCGTATACCAGTACACTCGTGTGCACCGTTATTGCGTTTTGTCGTATATTTATTAAATATATTGAACGCGCAGAACCGCATACACACACATACACGAACGCACACGTCTTGAGTGGTTGCAGGCAAAAAAGGTATTATGTAACTGGCTTTGAAATCGTATGCGGCAAAACGTGGGAAAGGGGTAATGCGAGAAAAACCACGCTTTGAGTTAATAATCCAGGCAGCGCTACGTATACACGAAGCGCGACTATAATATGTCGCTCCTCTCTCCCTCAACTATATACAAAGCGGATTAAGCTATGTGCATTTGTTGAAATTTCTCTCTTCCGGTTATAAATATTTTTTTGTTCTTTGTTAGAATTTAGCCCCCGTGCGCTTGTGTTGTTATTATATTTTGTATACACAACGATTAATCATCAAAAGCCACACTGGGTCAAGGAGTTCAAATGGCCTAGCGGGCGCCCGCGCATATGTGTGTGTATGTTTGCGGGTACCGCATAAACGAAAAAGGGCAAAGACGTAAAAATGAATGGGCATGTAAAGTATATCCTCCTCCCGCCGCCGCAGTATATACACCTTCAAGAGCCGCGAGAGAAAGAGATTGGAAATTATGGTAAACGCTCTGAGGAGGCCACTTGGCTTTTACACGAGCTTTCACGCGGTTTAGGAGTAAAAAGCTTTTATGCTCATTAATGTTGCAGCTTTATTGTGCTTTGCGGGACTGCATCTCGCTCGCTCGTTGAGCTAGTGTGTATATGTGTGTATCACTTTGATTCATAATAAATATTGTACAACAAGCCGCGAGTGAGAAGGAGGAGAGGAGAAAATATATTTATCCGCATCGAATGCGAGACAATATGCTGCTCAGCTGCTCTCGCTGCGCAGTAAAATTTATGAACGAATGCTATTACGAAAACATATCTACCCTTTACACTATATAACATGCGTTGCATACATGGTATATAGTAGCGCCGCTGCACATACGAGTTATTTCGTTGACAGAGAGACGCGCGCTCGCTCGCTCGCGTCCCTACACTGTTCATGTGTGTATCTTTTGAAATTTAAATTCGCGTGCGGATTTCGCTCAAGAGCCGAATGGGTTTAACCGTGCGTTAAAAGATAGAGAAAAGAGAGCCTCGACGCAGATTACGCGCGGCGCGCGCGAGCTCTGTGTGCTCTCGATGTTGTATGTACACGCTTATCGTATTCTGTTTCTTCCTCTCTCTCTCTCTCTCTGTCTCTCTCCATGTAAACACAATTATATTGTTGCGAGAAAAGTAGGCTACGCGCGCGCGAGCTCGCAACAATTTGTTTACTACGTGCAGAAGGGAGCAGGAGCCGCTGCTTCTGTATGTGCTCACGTTTTTTTTACTTTTCTTTTCTTTTTTTTTCCACGGAAAATTTGACAACTCTGCAGAAAAAAATATTATACGCTCAAATAACGTGACGTACGTAGTACGCTCAGACTCTCGAGCATAAACGTCAAATTTAAACATTTTGAAAAGAAAGCTGTGCAAAATTTGTGTTGCCGCACGTAAATGTGTACAGTGAACGTCACTGAAATAACGCGCGCGGCCGTTCGCGAGCTCGCGAAACTTCCCGCCCCCGTAATCTCGAGTTTCAATAGATGTGCTTTTTGCCGCAAGTTTTCGTTGCCATTACGTAATTTGTGTACGCGGCCGCATGCATACTACAAAGTCTAATCTTGACGAAATGATCTTGGCTGCTTGACGCTCGCTAGCCCAGCCTACGGCTCGCGCTCCTTTATCTTTCTAAAATGAAAAATATATATAATGAAAATAATAAGAAAAAGGAGGAGCGACCTGCGAGGCGCTAACAAGACACTCGCCGCGCGAATGCACCTGGCCGCGTGTGTTTTTCCCCGCTTGGGCGAAAAGACCACTCGTCGTCGTCGTCGTCGCTTGGTCGGCACAAGGTCTCTCTCTCTTTCTCTCTCCCTCTCTCTCTCTTTCTCTCTGCTCCTCCTCATCTCGGCACGATAAAGTATCCGCGAGCTGCTGCTGCCGTCGCCGCGCGTGACACTGCACATATCTCTCTAGGCGCGCAACATGACGAATGGCACACATCGACGCGATTAGGATCAGCTCATTGTGTCTCGAGGCTCTTTTGTGTATATTCTCGCTGCTATATGTATACACAGCGGCTCGTGTAAGCTTGTGCGGTGTGCACGTATACGTATTACACGTGCCTATGAGCGCGCGTGTGTGTGTATGTGCGCGCGCGAGACTTCCGCGCGCATCGTCGCCTCAAGTCTACCTGGCGCGATTCACTTTTGCAGTTATTCGCTGACCGTCGTCGCGGATGACACACGGTATAACGACGACGACGACGACCGCGACCAATAAAAAACTTGTGTCTATATACTAATAATAATATATATACGCTCTTTGCCATGATGAAGCAAAGTGCGCGAGTCGTAATGAGGTGCGCGAACTGAGCTGCGAGCATGATACGCAGACTGCGCTCGCCGCCGTGTTGTTGTTGTTGTCGCAAGTGTCGTTCATTATGGATTGGAGGATAAATTCATAGTTTATGAGGTTGGTGACCAGTCTCTCCATATAAGTGCACCTGCAGAAATACGCACACACACATTCATTCTATTATAAAGAGCAAATAATGCACACCCGCTCGCGGCTCCCCACACTGCACGAGAGTTGCAAATTCAAGAGAGTACTACATAACCCGCAGTGTAATAATAATAACAGTTATAAAAGCACAACTCGCCCGGCTACTTTCATGGAATTCAAGCATCAATTTTTTATAACGCCAATCACTCCCTCGCGCGATGCACGGCGGCCCCCGTGCCGCGCGGTATAAAGTAGCCGGCTGTAGCGCTCGCCTTCTGCCACTATATACCGAGTGAATCTAGTACGCCGATCGACTGGTTCGATAAAAAAAAATGTAGCGCTAAATCTCTTTTTCCATTTCTTCTGATGCCGCTGCTGCCGCTACCGCTGCTCTCGTCAAGGATGGCGAAAAAATGTATATAATGATATATTTTTTTATATAAAGGTCATTTTGTAAGTATTGATCCTCGGAAAAATATTTGCCTCGAAAAAGTATATTATACAATGTGCTTCGTCTTACTGCAACGATCATTTACTGCGTCGATTTATGCCTCCTTTAATTGCGTTTACTTCGAATTTCTCAGCTCGAACTTCGCACTTGTGTGTTCGGCGCGAGCATTTGATGTTCGTGGGAGAAAAAATCGTAAAGCAAACTCTTAGAAATACACTAGGCTGTACTTTAAAACATAAAGTAGTCGTAAGTACGTGTACAAAGTCTTTAAAAAAAAAAAAAGAATGAAAAGGAAAAGGGAAATAACTATGATCCACACATACGCGAGGTTCGTATTATTACATGTCTACGCGAGCACATGATTTTCTTGTTTGTGCGCGCAAGTTGAAAAAAAAGCAGAGATGATGAAAGGCGCTCACGCACAGTATAATACACAACACGTAAAACGATGCCTATGATTACAACCACACATCTGGCGGAAATCTCGTGCTCCGTGATCGGGATAACTTTGCTCGATGCAAATACACTATTTTCCTCGAGAAAAATAAAGAAAGAAAGTCAAGCTTAACGGGTATTATTTTTATTTTTATCATTATTATAGGCAAATACTGAAAAATCGGTCAAATCCTGTATATCGCTCGTCGAAGAAATCCACTTGATAGGATTTTTTTCGGCAATATCAGCTCTGCGCGAATATCGACGCGTCCAACTTTTTAAACGAAGCGCGAAATTTCAACGAGATGGGTTATGGCACACACGGCTCGACCTACTTTGTCGATGTGTGACTGACAGTGCGGTTTAATTAGGGAATATCTGTTTCATGGTTTTATTTTGACACCTCGCCGTACACAAGGGAAACGTCTTGCGGTTTTTGTCTCCGTATATATTCCGGTCAAATTGCAGAAGACAACGGAGAAATTGTGTCTCGAGAGTAGAATAAAAAAAAAGAATTAGACACATTTAGGGACACAATGGATGTCGGAAATAACGATCCAAGTCGCGGATAAAATTAAGTGTAATTCGTATTCCTAGAGCACATTGAAAAGTAATGGTTACGTTCGTTCGCTCTCGGAAGGAAAATCGCGTCAGATTATTCAGCGCCCATATTAAATACAACGGTCAATAAACTTTATCTAGCGAGCATAAAAGATTTCTGAGGATAAAATCGAAAGCTCTCTCATTTATGCGAGATCAGTTGTGTAATGGAAGAGAGAGAGAGAGAAATAGAGGAAAAAAAATGTACAAGTAGCAGCGATGTATGTAAACGCGACGAAGCACGTGTACGATGTGTATGTGGAGTCGAGTCGGGCGATTTATGCAAGTCAGTTTCGCGGGCAGCGATAAAAATTACGTGTGCAGACGCAATCATAACGTGTGCGCACACGGATATATTCACGCAATCATTCGAGCTGGCTGTTGGTGTCGCTCACATATATTTTTGTTTAGCAACAGCAGCGGCGGCAGCAGTGACTGCAGGAGTGATTCAATTGGATTTTCTTCACTCGTGACACACAATAAAAAATTCATATCGATCGTGTCGAATTCGTTTCGACACAAGTGCACATCGTCGTCGTCGTCGGCGTAGCACCAATTTTTTTTTCTATATAAGCATTATCTCACGCAACACTGCAGTCTCTCTTTCTCTCTCTCTCTCGCACTATCTGCACTCGATACTATATACTCGGCTACTTGACCTCCAAATCTATAGAATCTCGCTCGCACAGCAGCAGCAGTAGTATAGTGGCGCACAATACAACACCTGTCGAAAAATACGCTCTATTTTTTTTTCGATCAATGTCTATGCATCGAGTGCCTCTCTCGCGCGCGCTCTTTCGTGACACAATGCCCGCGAGTGGGGACTCGAAGGTGTTCATTAATTCTCGCGCGCTCAGGCTTTTCACTCGAAGAACAAGTAAGAAGAAGAAGAAGAAGAAGAAGAGAAGAAAAAGGGGGAAGAATTTGATTATTCCACTGAGAGAAAGGATGTGTGAGCGAGAGAGGCTACCCCTTTTGTTTGTACGCGAGTGTGTAATATACGTAGTTTTGCTGGATGAGTGCCAAAAGAGGCCAGAGACAGAGAGAGACGACTCAAAATTTGAATTGTTTGGAGTTAAAGTTTTGCGTCGTGAAAAGCGGCCATCGATTTTTGTAGTAGTAATAATGATTATAATAATAATAATAATAGTAAAAATTATAATAATAATAGTAATAATAACAATAACAGAGCTACGAGCACTCGGTGACTTTGAAAGGCTTGTTTTTTGCTTTTTTTTCAATAATTGGTCCAAAAGGACAATTGACGAGCGCATCGGAAGCAGTCCGCCACTAATCGCTCGGCGCACACAGTTTACACACTACAGATACAGCACAGCGACACTCACGGACGCTAATATTTCATGATCTATCGATTATTCCCGCTCTTCAATGTACATACAAAAAAATGCAAAAAAATATTTCTCTTTTGCCTCTCGACTCGCGCGGGGGAGGGGAATTCGCCGAACAATTGCTATGAAAATCTGCTCGCGTCCGAACGACGCGATCTTATCTGTGCGGGGCTTCCGTTTGCCAAGTGCAATCAACACGCTTGTAAGCCACGTGAGCATCGTCGTTCGCGCTATACGGCCGTTCGAGCCGTTGTGTTTCGTAACAGCTCTTCTGGATTTCACACGCAATCTGATAATTTTTTAATATAAAACGATGATTGGAGCGCACAAGAATGTCCGAGAGATGGGTAAAAAGAGAAAACTGGCCATTGTTTCTTTTCGCGTATAACCCGGACCGCTGTAAGATTTATGACTTCATATTGCATTCTTCGAGCTGTCTACGTTTTAAACACTGTGACGTGGGGGTTAGCTATGCATCAGATTTGTTTTCTCTTCACGCGCACACACTCGTACTGTGTAAAAATGTATTCACACGCACTCGTCGCGATGGGCTAATTACTCGGCGTGCGTACGCAAAAGAAAAGTAGTGGTAGTAGTAGTAGTCGTCGAGCATTAAGTAAGTAGGCAGGGCAGCCCCGATTCACGAGGGAGGGAAAATTTGCTCTCTTTCGCGCGATAAAAAGAAAACAAACATCCCTCGAGCTAAGAAACGACCCTTTCGCACACACACTTGTCACTTTTACATACCTTAGCCGCTCTCACCCTCTTTCTCTGTCTCTCATTCTCTCTCTCTCTCTCTCGTGTGCTTCTCTGCGGCGCGTGTGAGTGCTGCAGTACAGCGCTCGAGCCACGAACGTGTGTCCCAGTAGACGCGTCGTTTGTGTATAATGTATTTTCTCATTTTGCGGGCATGCGGGTATATATATCGTTCGTACACTCGTCGAGCTTTCGTCGAGCTTACACGTAACGCACATATACATACGTATACGTACACACGGACACACATATCACACATGTATATTTCAATGAATTTCTCTGGAGAATTTCGAAGCTAATAAGAGAGACCGGACGAGTTGAGCAGTGTCAGTCGGTTCATTCTTTTTGACTTTATATATTTTCCCTTTGTAAGCTAAAACGTAGACGTAGCGCGACCTTTTATACGCTATACATCTCGTTAGGTCTCAGGGCTCGATGGCAATCGGATAAACTTTTTCCTCGCTGCACTTAGCAGCTTCCACCTTGCAGCTTCCTCCGCTTCCTCCTCCTCTCGCGCTTCTCCCTGCTCGTCTGCCCACAGAGAGATAATGCGCGTAATCCTGCCTCGTGTGCCCTTAGCATTGGGCGACTCGTTTGCGCGCGCGGGGGGTGCTGCTCGTTAATCGAAAATCTTCGGCTTTATCAAATAATCGAAGGGTGTGTAAGCGTTTCAGCAGCGGTGGCGGTAACAGCAGCGTCGCGCGCGCGCGGCCTCATCGTTAATTTAAATTATAATATATCGAGAGGGAGGTCGGGCAATTTTGATGGCGCACGTGTATATTATAAGTTGCCTTGAATCTATCGAATATGTATATCTTCTTATATTATAAATCCGTATGCTCGCTTCCACCAAGCTGCTGCTGTTGCGCGACTGGTGATCCTTTCCCAATTAACGAGGATCAGGCCCTGGTGATCCTTGAACTTCCTTAATTCCCGAGTCCCAGGACTCGATGCTTGAATTAGCATAGCTAACTGCGTACTCTTATTATTGATAACGCATAACACATTTCACGTTGCTTGCGAGTATAGATGTTATGAGCTCTGTCAAAGTCCTAATTTTAACGTGCTAGATACAGGAGATTCGCCGTCACTTAGTTTTAGTAAACAATTATTGATCAGTAGGAGAATTTTTATTGGAAAGGGGTACTAGTGATAAAAACGGAGCCGACTTATTGTTAAGGAACGGTGTGATACAAATGTGACCAACGAAGAAGAACTGACATCCATATACATGCTTTGTAAGAAAACCGAAGATGAAGACTGCTGAGCTATTCTTCTAGATCAAAATCGAAAAAATCAGTTGGTACTGGTTGGTATTAGCCGATGTACGGGACAGATTGTATTGGACACCACTTCAATTGGCTATGGAAAATACCTAT